CTGAACTGCTGGATGGTCAGGAGCGTTTGTCCCTGCTGTGTTCCCAGCCCTGCTGATCTGCAGCATGGTCAGGAGTGTATCTGTACTTTGTTCCCTGACAGCTGTGCAGCTGGTGCCTTCCTCTCAGGGCCCAGAACCCTCGGATCCTGCATGGCAAAGGAGCGGCAGGCCCAGAGCCCTGGGGATGCATCACTTCTCCATCCGGGGGTGGCCCCTCAGAGCGGGTGTGTGCCCTGCAGAAGAGGGACTTCCCCCTCCGGGAGAACTTGACTTTTGTTTTGTTTTTTTTTTTTTGTTTTTTTTTTCGAGACACGGTTTCTCTGTGTACCCCTGGCTGTCCTGGAACTCTCTCAGTAGACCAGGCTGGACTCAAACTCAGAGATCCTCCTGCCTCTGCCTCCTGAGTGCTTGGTTTAAAGCTGTGCGCCACTGTGCCCAGCTGTGAGAACCCGATTTCTAAGCTTCTCTGAGTTTTAAATTTGAATGTTAATTTAGGGCCATTGTCCCTACTGTAAGAAGGAGCCGCTGGTAGGCCACCTCAGCACAGAGCCGATCCCAGGGTGGAGGGGCCTCCTCGACGCTCCCTCTGAGGTGTGGATCCAGTCTGAGTCCCTGTCAATGGAGGGAGCCACCTCTGTAGACTGAAAGCCCTGGGGTGCTCCGCACCCCTTCCTTCCCAGGCAGCTCTGAGGGGTGCCTTGTCTTAGAAGGTGGGTCACTCCAGACCCCAGGGCTTGGGGATCCCCGGGGATCAGGATGCCGTCATTTCTCCAGGACTCAGGGTGTTTCCACTGCCCTGTGACAATCTCTGTCGTACTAGAGAGAGAGTCGGGGGCATGACACGGCCTCTTCAGCGGGTGGCTGCACCTCCTAAGCTCGGGACCTGGCTCTTTGTCCTGGGTCGACGCGGTGGGCGATGAGACCTGTCTCCCAGGCTGCCCTGGCTTCCCCTTGTTTATCGGAACACTTCAAGCACTTAAGAGTTTTGGAGCAAGGTCCTCAGGCTTGGTTTGAGGTCGGGCTGTGACTTGAGCCCTCTCTCCTGAGTAGCTTTTGGCTAGTGGGGAGGTGATTTGGAGAAAGCCCGTCACTGTTGTACAGTGTGTGTGTGTGCTGAGCACCGTGGGTGCCTGGGGGCGTTGGCCAGGCTCGGGACTTCACAAATACAAGCTGGCCTTTGAGTGACATTTTAGGGTACAGTGGTATGGACCGTGAGCATTCTAGAGTTGTCTAAAATAGCTGGTGAAAAGAAGTGTGTGTGTGCCCCTCTGTGTGTGTGTGTGTGTGTGTGTGTACGAGCGTGCGCGCGCTCATGTGCGTTGGGTGGGGAGCCCTGAAGAATGCCAAGTGCCTGATGTGTCTTACCTGAAGGGAAGCTAGAGAAACTGGCAGGGGAATTCTGGGAAGGGTGGTTCAGGCATGGCTTGGCTGCCTTGTGGGAGGCAGAACTGTTTGTGGACCGTGTCCCTCAAGGCAGACCTTCACATGCTTCTCTCTTAAGTCTACATGGAAGGCGCCGTGTGTACCCTTCTCACTCACCTTGTCCCGGCCACCCAGGGCTGCTATGACCATGCCCTTGGCATTGCCTGTGTGGCTAAAGATGGCCAGCACCCACAACTGGGCGGGTGGCAAGGACATGTGTGGAGCCCTCAACCCGTCTCTTAGGGTGATGTCGTGGGAAACTCCCAAGTTTTCACAGGCATGCTTCCAGAGAGGGGCAGTGGTGGCCTAAGGATATCATGTTAGCCTCTGAGGCTTCTCAGACCGGATCTGCCACCTGCTCAGTCATGTGACCTTGACTGACAGGGTAGTCCTTGTGCCTGGGAAGCTCGGCTTCCTCTCCCATGGAGCTGGGAGCCTTGTCCTCACTTCCCCGGTGGGACAGCCTGCAAGTACCCGGCTGTGGGTGTTGAATGCTGGCATGGTTCCGTGGGTTCTTTGTGTCTCTTCATGCATGTATAGGTGCATGCGTGTGTGAAAACGGACATGGAGGCCAGAGGGCACCCCTGGGTGACATTCCTTGGACACCATCTCCTTGCTTGTTGAGGCAGGCAGGGTCTCTTACTGGCCTAGACGTCACTGAGCAGTCTAGGCTAGCTGGCCAGCAAGCCTCAGGGCCCTTCCTGCCTCTGCCTCCCTGGGAATGCTGGGTTCACAGGTGACAAGTGTGCACCTCCACACACAGCTTTTCAAGCGGTTTCTGCCGACTGAACTGGGGTTTCCTCTTGCTTGGACGGCAAGTTCTTTCCTGACTGAGCCCGCTCCCCAGCCTCTGTCCTAGGGTTCCCGATAGTTCTCTATGCTGCATTTGCCCAGCCCCAGGCCTTGGCATGTCTTCTCCATCCATCAAGCACGCTCATGTCCATTTCCGTAGGAGTCCCCAGAGCCTTTGGCCCTGAGGTCCAGGAGAGCGCCCCAGCTGCCTCCACACAACTTTGCTGTGTCCTAATTCTCTGCGTTTTGAAGGCAACTGAAGCCTTGCTTATGTCTAGATGGTTAGCCACTTTGCAAAAAGATCAAATACTCTGACGTATGAGAATGCATTTTGGCCCGGTCCTGGAAGGACAGACAGGTCAAGTCCCGGTGACTGAGCAGCTCACGGCTCACAAGTGACATGTTATTCTTAGAAGGGATCTGCCCTCTCCCACCCACCCCTGGCTCCATTCTATTCCGCAATGTCAAACATCATGGAGACACCAGAGAATGGCAGCCTGTCACGTGGGTGTTTCTGTGGGAATGTGTTGGTCTACTGCCTTTTTTGGAGCAGCTGCGCAGTGCTGGTTCGGTCAGACCTCTGCTTAGCCAAAAGAGGCCACTGACTGGCAGCAGCCATCTTGATCCCAGGTCCCCTTCCTCATGTGGTGGCCATGCCGTAGCTGAGAGGAGTCTCCCAGGGGTGGCAGCAGAGTCCTCGCAGTGTAGTGAGAAGAGGGAGTCGCTCATCGTACTGTAAACGCTTCCTCCTTAGGTTGGTTCTTGTCAGGTTTTTGGCCACAGCATCAGGAAAGCACCTACCACACCGTCCCGGCTTTGCCACGCTCCCCTCTGACCGCAGCAGACCTGGAGCTGTGGGGTCCAGCGGCAAATCCAGGACACCTGTGTGTGAAAGATTGCCACCGTGCAGCCCCATGAGCTGGGCTGCAGCACTCAGAACATGGAACCTACTACCAGAACAGTGGTTCTGACGAGGCTTGAGGGTGTAGGAAGGAGTTCTGTTCCAGCTGTGCCTGGGAGGATGGGCCTCACGGGAGGGAGCACCGCTGTGTGAGGAGCTCTGTGAAGGTCCTGTGTCTCTGGTATTCAAGACATGATTGGTGGATGCACAGATGGATGGGTGGGTGGATGGATGGATGGGTGGGTGGGTGGGTGGGTGGATAGAATGACGGACAGAAGAATGTATGCATGTATAGATGAATGGTAGATGACTTATGGAAGAAAGAGGAGAGGAAAGGGAGAGTGAGTGGGTGGAGGGGTGGATGATGAAGAAGAAGCGATGGGTGGGTGGCTGGAGGAGCCCGAGGAAGGGTGGGCGGATGGCGGGATGTGTTGAGTGGGATGAAGAAGGGGGGAGAGAGAATGATTGGATAGATGATGATGGAGTGGCTAGGGGGATCAATGAGTTAAATGCGGGACAGATTCTCTGACGGGGATGGCACAGGTGGTGAACACAGCGGAAGCAATTGGGTACATTGGTTAGATGGTCACTGGGTTGGCTCCAGAGTGAGTGCTTGAGAGAAGACAGCAAAAGGGCTGTGGATGTAAAACTTGGAAGATGAAATGCCGGTCTCCCTTGTCACACAGTAGGCACTCAATTGTAGGTGCTACTATGGGAAGATCTTTGCAGTCAACACACAGAATTCTAATTTTTCAATGTTAGTCTCTGCCAGGCATGGTGGTGCACGCCTTTAATCCCAGCACTCGGGAGGCAGAGGCAGGCGGATCTCTGTGAGTTCGAGGCCAGCCTGGTCTACAGAGTGAGTTCCAGGATAGCCAGAGCTACACAGAAAAACCCTGTCTCAAAAACAAAACAAAACAAAAATACTAGTCTTTGTTGACTCATAACAAATTGTGCATGTTTATGGATACATTGTCACCGTTTAGCACATTCCTATAGTATATAGAATCAGTCACACTATTGGTTTATCCATTACTTTTAAATAGGCACCTATCATTTCATGATGTTGGGATCCTTTAAAATCGTCTCTACTGATTATTTTGAAATAACAATTAGTGGCTGTCAATCACAGCCACCACATGCGCCGGACAGCTTTATGTCAACTTGGCACAAGCTAAAGTCATCAGAGAGTAGGGAACCTCAATTAAGAAAACGCCTCTGGGGGCTGGAGAGATGGCTCAGAGGTTAAGAGCTCTGGCTGCTCTTCCAGAGGTTCTGAGTTCAATTCCCAACCATCTTATCATGAGATCTGGTGCCCTCTTCTGGCCTGCAGGGTTACATGCAGACAGAACACTGTATATATAATAATTGTAAGTTAAAAAAAAACAGGAAGAAACCGCCTCCATAAAGCTGGGCTGCAGGCAGGCTTGTAGGCATTTCCTGTAGTTAGTGGTTGGTAGGAGGGAGGGGTCATACCTTGGCTGGTGGTCTTGGGTTCTACGAGAAAGCAGGCTGAGAAATCCACGGGAAGCAAGCCAGTGAGCAGCTCCCTCCACGGCTTCGGCACCGGCCGCTGCCTCCAGGTTCCTGTCCTCTTGATCTCCCGCCCTCACTGCTTTTGAAGAGGAGCTGTTTGTTCATGATGTTCTTCACAGCCGTAGTCACCCCAACTAAGACACCACACTCGGCTGTACAGGGTTCTAAGCTATGCTCAGTTTCTACCTGCACCATGGTGCGATTCCAAATCCTGGGAGTCGAATTCAAATTAGAAAAGACCCTGACGTGCCCTTGCCTGCATTTTGCATGCTACAGGCGGGTGACAAGGCACGGGCGGCAGCGTGTTAGCTCTAAGGCCACACTTACTCCTCCGTCTTCTTTTCTCTAGACGTGTGCAACAGCACCAACCTTCCCGAAGTTGAGATCATTAGCCTGCTGGAGGAGCAGTTGCCCCATTACAAGCTGAGAGCTGACACCATCTACGGTTACGACCACGATGACTGGCTGCATACGCCTCTCATTTCCCCAGACGCTAACATCGACCTCACAACCGAGCAGATTGAAGAGACGCTAAAATACTTCCGTAAGTAGCTGGCGCCTCACCTACGGGAGCAGTGTGACGAGCAGGGCCCCAGGTCAGGTCTGCCACGAGGCATTGTGTGACGGGCCTGACGTCTATGTGGAAGGGCGGCCAAGGGGGACATGGCCTTAGCAGTGGGTTAGCCATGTTAAGGGTCTTCTTGGTCTGGGTGAGTAGTGGGGACCAAGCGTTCTTATTTGAGCCATGCAGAATAACGTAAAGCTATAAAAACAATTATCTGTTATACTTATTGTGCATTATTTTATGTGTGTGTCTGCCTGCCTGTTGGTATGTGCCTCATATTTCATGCAGTGCCTGAGGAGGCCAGAGAGGGCGTTGGGTGCTCTAGAACTGGAGTTACAGATGTGAACCACCCATCCTTTCCCTCTATAAACCCCACGGGGAATTAGTCTGTTTGTATTTTACAACAAATGTCACGTGGAAATCTAGGCCACTTCCTTCGGTGTAGCCATAACAAGGCCTGTACCAGGATCAACTGGCTAAGCTGGGATTCCAGGAGTCAAACCGTTGCAGCGTAAAGTTATGCCACTGGGTGGCAGAGATGCTACCTAGGGGGTGATCCTAGAGCTAGGGATCCCCGGAGAGGGAGGGAGGGAGGGAGGGAGGGAGAGAGAGAGAGAGAGGGAGAGAGAGAGAGAGAGAGAGGGAGAGAGAGAGGGAGCGCACAGTACTGCCGACGGAGGACGATGATTTTAAAAGTTAATGTTTATTGTTACCACTGATTATTCAGGTGACAGCTGATCTCCATTCCTCCTTCCTCCTCCTCTTTTATTCTCTCGGTGCTGGGATTTGAACCAAGAGTCTTGTACATGCTAGGCACTTACCAAGTACTCTACCAATTCGCTGTGCACCCAGTTCTTAAAGGGGTGCCTTTTAAAAATAATTGTGTTTTAGGAGGGGGCAGAGTCTCACCAGGTAGCCCAGGATGGCCTGGAACTTCCTATGTAGTCCAGGCTTGCCTGAAACTTGGCATGACCCTCCTGCCCCAGCCTCCCAAATGCTCAGAGGGCACCACCACAGCAGGCGATACGTGGTGCTCTGCTTTTGACCATGGTAGGATGAATCCAGAGCCTCCAGCATGCTTGGCTAGTGCTCTGCCATGGAGCTCCCCTCCGTCACCGTACTTCCGTTCTTTAGAAGCGCACATGTCATGGGTCTGGAGAGATCTCTGAACAGTTAGGAGGTAGCTGCTCTTCTAGGAGACCAGTGCTCAGTTTCCAGCACCCATGTTGGGTGACTCACATCCGTCCATCTTCAGCTCTCTTCAACTCCAGCTTCAGGAAACCTGTACTCATCCACATGCCTGCTGCATACACACGTGCACACACGTATGTGAACGATTTAAAATATCTTAAGATGACGTTAATGTCTTCTTCGTCATTTAATACACGTGTGTTTCTCGTTTGTGTATCTGTATGTCAGCATGCCATTCCCTTTTAAAGACACACACCAACCTGCTTCTCTGGAGATAATGCCACTGAGAACCAGCTTGCAGTACGTGGCTGGGCTTTCTGTGTGTTACTTTTCACTACCGTAGACCAGTCTTTCCAATTTCCGAGATCATTTACAATAAGCAAATTGGAACTAAAAGCCTCCACTTTAGGGTGTGTGCAGGGCTATTCTACAGGTTCTCTATATTGGATGCTAATAAGAAAGTAATTATGTTGAATCGACCTGTGAGTTTATCCTCGGTGCAATCCACACACAGTGTCTTTCTGAGCACTGCTGATGACCGGTGCCAATAAGAACAAAAATAGGATAATCCCATGCCTAGTGTCATCTTAGGTGCCTCTCAGCGGGCCAGAAGTTCTTCATGAGCCAATGAAGCAAGAATTTACAAACAGTATAATAACCCATTTATTAAGGGGTTCAATGGAGAATTTGCAAACAGTTTAATAACCCGTTTATTAAGGGGTTCAATGGAAAGACGAACTCCAGCGAGAGGCTGATCCCTCACCGCCTCTCCACCGCGTGGGTCTTCTACCACACCAAGCGTGAGCTAGGCTGAGCACGCTCTCTCCTCCAGCTTTTCAGTCCTCACAAAGCACCAGGCCATGCCCTAAGGCCAGTACCCCAAAGCTATAGGTACAAAGAATTCCCATAACAAGTCAGTTGTGCTTAGCCGGGGCAAGTGCCCCAGCTGGGATTGCGCATGGGAAGCTGAGTCACTTTTCTTGTGGGTTCTGTGTGTGTGTGTGTGTGTGTGTGTGTGTGTGTGTGTGTGTGTGTGTGTGATTCTACTATAGAAGTCCACAGTATGATTTGAAGCAATTATTTCTGGGGAAGTCTGTTATGTGACTTGCTCTTATGACAGAGCCTGGCTGCTGTCCCTGCCACGGGAGGCTCCTGGTCCCTCCTCACACACAATGATTAGCCATGAACGCACGCAGCAGTGTAACTGGAGTGTCATTCATGGCAGCACCAGGCCATTTTACAGGACGGTCGCAGAACTGACCTGTTGCGTCCCTATGAAACATCTGCAGGCAGGCAAGGCTACTTTGATCTAGCACCGGCGCGCAGTTCTTTTTTTACCAGGAGACTCAAACTGGGATTCGCCTCTCATTTGTTTTTAGTTATATGTGTAAGAAAACCCAAAAGAATTTTAGAGTCACCAGTGGTACCGCAGTGCGGAACACAAGAGCGAGGAGCAGACCTTAAAAGGGCCTGCAGTTGGGCGTGTCCGGGTCCCGTTGGTTAGTGCCTCCTGTGGATTCTCTGCTTACTGCTAGATGACTACGTGTTAAGTGTCTTAATCCATGTGGAGAGGTAGATCTGCAGTTAGGAGCACTCACTTCTCTTACAGAGGACCTGAGTGTAGTCCCAGCACACACTTCAGGTGACTCACAACTCCTCCGCAGGATTGGGCGCCCTCTTTTGGACTCTGTGGGAACTGCACTCACAAATGTATACACCCACAGATGTATAAACACATACAACTTAAAAGAAATCTCTAGGCAGCTATATATATCTGGATGTTTCTCTCCTGCCCACATCCGCTTATAAAATAATCACTCAGAGACTTAATATTAATTATAATGGTTGGGCCGGTGGCTCAGGCTTATTATTGACTATCACTTACATTTAAACTAACCCGTTTCAATTAATCTGTGTATTTCTACATGGACGTGGCTTATAGGTGTTGCTCGAACATCTTCTCCTTTGGCAGCTGGATGGTGACTTCTCCCAACACCGCCTTCCTTCTCCCTGTATCTCTGCCTGGATTTCCCACCTATGGCTCTACCATAGGCCAAAGCATCTTTATCCATCAACCAATAAAAGAAACACTTATTTGCAGTGTACAGAAGGCATCCCACATCAGGCAGAAGTTTCTGTCTTGCCAGAACCTCCCAAATACCCAGCCCCTGCTTCCCAAATAACTGACTTGGAGTCTTAATATTGCTTATAAATGCTCTACCAGTAGCTCAGGCTTATCACTAACTAGCTCTTACACTTAAATTAACCCGTAGTTTTTATCTATGTTTAGCCATGTGGCTTGGTACCTTTCCTCAGTCTGCATATGCTGGAGCCTCCTGACTCCGCTCTTCTCCTTCCAAGCATTTTCAGAGTTCCTTTCCTGCCTAACTTCCTGCCCAGCTACTGGCCAATCAGTGTTTTATTAAACCCGTTCCATTGAAAGATCTTTACAGTGTACAAGAGGATCATTCCACAGCAGAAATACTTTTCAAAAAGCATCTCAGTTGATCAACCAGGCATTCATTGACTTTGAAATGCAAGACTTAAAACTGAAGCCCTCCAGCCCCCAAATGGTCTGTAAAGAAAGTTTAGAGTTTTGTGAATTTAGTTATTTGCATTAACTTCTGGCCGAAAGGGAGCATTATCCCTCATGGTCAGACTGGCAGACAAGGCAGGTGTCAGCATCAGGGCATGCAACTTTGTCACCAGTGTTTGTACGCCACACAGCAGTGGGCGGACACAGTGAAATGTGCCTCTCCCCATCACCGGATGAAGTCGTGGGTATTGTTCCCAGCACGATAGCCCTTGTTATTTAGCTGAGTTTATTAGGTAGCTCTTATGTCATGGCTTTGGCTGTCCTTGGGTTTTAGTAACTAGGAAGACACAGCTGTTTCCCTTTACACAGACAGACATGCAGGTGGTGTGTAGAAGTCACAAGTTAGGGGCGCTGCTCTGTCTGGTGCCCTGGTTTTTTTTATTTCTTTGTTTGTTGTTTATTCTCAAGACAGTGTTTCACTCTGTAGCCCTGGCTGGCCCAGAACTCAAAGAGATTCGCTTGTTTCTGTCCCCCGAGTTCTGGGGTTAAAGGCATGCGCCACCATGCCTGGCCTTACCTTTTGAAAAACTTTTGTGTGGTATTTGTGTGTTCATACGTGTGTGTTCATGTGTGTGTGTGTGTGTGCATGTATGTTCATGTAGAGGCTAGAGGTTGGCATTATCTTCGTCTATCCATCTCCAGCATATGTTTGTTTTTTTTTTTTTGTTGGTGTTTCTGAGACAGGGTCTCACTGTGTGGTGGTTTCTATGAAAATGACCCCTGTAGGCCCTGAGGGAGTGGTATTAGGAGGCGTGGCCATGTTGGAAAAGGGGTGGCTTCCTTAGTTGGAGGAAGTGTGTCACTGGGGGTGGGCTTTGAGTTCTCAGAAGCTCAAGCCAGGCCCAGTGGTTCACTGTCTGTTCCTGCTGCCTGCAGATCCAGATGTAGAACTCTCAGCACCATGTCCACCATGATGATAATAGATCAACCCTCTGAGTAAGCCAGCCCCAATTAAGTGTTTTCCTTTATAAGACCTGCCCTGGTCATGGTGTCTCTTCACAGAAATATAACCCAGCCTAAGACATAGTGTGTCCTTTGCCAGCCTGGAAGAGATTCACCTTCCTCAGCCTCCAAAGCTAGGGTTAAAGGTGTGCGCCGCCAGGCCCAGCCCACCTGACGTTTTGAGACAGGGTCTCCCACTGCACTGATGTAGAGAGAAGCCTTTTCCTTGCCAGCAACTTTGGTTTTTCCC